TTTTTTTTTTTTTTTTTGGTTGGAGTCTCACTCTGTTGCCCGGGCTGCAGTGCAGTGGCAAGCTCCCGGCCACCACAACCATGACCTGCTGGGCTCTGGCAATTCTTCTGCTTCAGCCCTCCAAGTACCCGGAACTACAGGCACACGTTACCACGCCCAGCTAATTTTTAAAAATTTATTTTAGAGATGAGGTCTCGCCAAATTGCCGCGGGCTCAGGCAATCCACTCGCCTCAGCCTCACAAAGTGCTGAGGATTACAGGCTGAGCCACCAAGCCTGGCCCCATTTAAACAGGAGAAATATATTTGATGAACCCCAACTGCAGCAGGCTCTCTGCAAGCAGTAGCAGCAGCCATTGTCCCTCACAAAATTCCTCACAATTTTTGAGGTTTTTTGTTTAACTCCTACAAAAGCTGATTTAATAATACGCTTTAAACTTAGAAATTTTTAGTTCAAAAGTAGTAAATGTTGTATTGCCTTTGAGTTTAAAGACTGGACAACTGCCAGGCTTGGCTCAGTCTGTAATCTCATGCTTTGGGAGGCTGAGGTGAGTGAATTGCCTAAGCCTGTGGGTTTGAGACCCGCCTGCGCAACTTGGCGAGACCTCATCTCTACAATAAATCAAAAATTAGCCAGGCGTGGTAGCGCTCGCCTGTAGTTACAGCTACTTGGAAGGCTGAGGTGGAAGGATCGCTCGCTGGAGCCCAGGTCGAGGCTGTGGTGGCCGGGAGCGGCCACTGCACCTCAGTCTGGGTGACAGAGTGAGACTCCATCTCAAAAAAAAACAAAGAAAGAAATAAAATAAAATAAAATTTTCTTTTCATCTTCCATCACCTTTAATCCAAGCCTGTAGCTTAAGAGATATTAAGCCTTAATGACATTAGTCTCTAAAATAATAGTTTGTGGTAACTTGTTCTGGTACCAGGTTCTAGTGAGTCCTACCCTCTGACCCTGTGGTACAATTTTCATTCTGCAGAAACCTAAGGTCCCTAGTGGTTCTAAGGCAATGTATCCAAGAGGGTTGGGCCCTCTGCTCAAGCACCGGCAACTATGTGAAAGGAATCATCCTGGAGTGGACTATAGTATATGCAGATAATCCATTGTTAGAAAAGTTTTAGAGCTGAGCCACAATCTGTATCTCCTGTTTTCTCCATGCACTGGTCTTTTGGTGTTTTTTTGGTTTGTTTTTGAGTTGGAGTCTCACTCTGTCGCCCAGACTAGAGTGCAGTGGCCACTCTTGGCCACCGCAGCCTTGAACTGCTGGGCTCCGGCAATCCTTCCACCTCAGCCTTCCAAGTAGCTGGAACTACAGGCATGCGCTACCTTAGCCTGGCTAGTTGTTGATTTATTGTAGAGATGAGGTCTCGCCAAGTTGCCCAGGTGGGTCACGAACACGCACCGGACTTTATCTGCTTTCTGGAGCACCATGAGTGAGTCTAACTCCTCTTCCAGAAAACAGTTCTTCAGATATTTGAAGACAATGTCTTGTTTTTTTAAGTCTTCTAATTCCTTAATTTCTTTTTCAGAAGACATTATTTTGAGCTTCTTTCCACCATCCTCACCACCTACCTCTGGATAAACACTCTTCAGTTTGTCAATGACCATGTTATTTTTATTTTACTTTATTTTATAATTACAGTCCAGGTCTCATTATGTTGCTCAGGTTGATCCTGAATCCCTGACCTCAAGCGATCATCCCGCTTTGCCTCCCAAAGTGCTGGGATCAGAGGAGTGAGCTACTGTGCCTGGCTGAGTGACCATCTTTTTTTTTTTTGAGTCGGAGTCTCACTCTGTCACCCAGACTAGAGTGCAGTGGCCGCTCCCGGCCACTGCAGCCTCGACCTGCTGGGCTCTGGTGATCCTTCTGCCTCAGTCTTCCAAGTAGCTGGAACTAGAAGCACGCGCTACCACGCCTGGCTAATTTTTGACTTATTGTAGAGATGAAGTTACGCCAAGTTGCCCAGGCGGGTCTCAAACCCACAGGCTCAGGTAATTCACTCACCTCAGCCTCCCAAAGTGCTGGGATTACAGGCTGAGTCACCGAGCCCGGTTCTGATTGACCATTTTAAAAAGAAAGCACAGTGCTCAGAAAAGAGGACATCATCTTTTAGGCAGTCAATCCAATAAAGAATACAATTTGGTTATGGATCTTTATTTCACTTGCTCCAGACATGAGGCTTGTATTAATAAGGCACAATTTCAAATAAGCTTTTTTAGCAGCCCTGGAATATTTACTCAGTCTTAGCTCGCAGTCAGCTAAAAACTCCCAGAGGTCTCCTTTATGATACAAGTTATAATTAAAGCTTCAAAAGGGAAATGTATATGATCCCTTCTTTTCATATGTTAGAAGTATGTTAGAGCTGTTGTAAGACTAGTTTTGTGAAAAACTCCCAAACACGCTCAAACTCAGTATTACACAAAGCTAGGGTCTCTGGATTTTGAGTGGAGATTCGCTTCTGCCCCAGTCCCCTCTTGCCTTCACTTGTTCTTTCAGGACTTGGACTCTGCCTCACCAGAAAGGCTTTTACCAGAGTAGTTCATGCAGATCAAAGGAATTAGTGGTTCCTCATTGTGGCTCATCATCCTCCAAATCTTAACCCAAAATAAAAGGGGTTCAAGAAAATAGTAAAAATGTTATTTTTCATAAAGTAATAATCGATGGACGATTAGAAGATATTATCCATGCTATGCTTCACAAATATTCTTATTTTTGAGTTGATGTCTCACTCTGTCACCTACACTGGAGTGCAGTGGCAAGTTCCTGGCCACCGCAGCCTCGACCTGCTGGGCTCCGGAGATCCTTCCGCCTCAATCTTCCAAGTAGCCGGAACTACAGGTGCACACTACCACGCCTGGCTAATTTTTGATTTATTGTAGAGAGAGACGAGGTCTTGCCAAGTTGCCTGGGTGGGTCTTGAACCCGTGGGCTCAGGTAATCCACTTGCCTCGGCCTCCCAAAGTGCTGGGATTACAGGCTGAGCCATCGAGCCCGGCCTGTTCCTACTTCTTCATGTGGCTTTACGCAACAGATGGCAAAGTATTCTGTAAAGGTTCTTGGTATATACCTGTTTTTATAATGACATGAGTAGTCTCTTCAGTAACTAGATTAGTTAAAGAGATGTGGTGTTTTCTGGCAAACTTCTGCACAATCATCTGAAATAATAGCAAATATTATATTTAATAAATTACATCTATACGCAGTTTAGAATACTAGTTATTCTAGCTTTGAGTCTCCCTTTTTCTCAGTAAGGGTGCATTTTTTTTTTTTTTTTTGAGTTGGAGTCTCAC